CGATGATAATGATCAAAATTAACATAATAATCCTAATAAATTATGGTTGCAATTTCAACCATGATGATCATTATGATGATCTTGATCATATTTAGCATATTATTCATGATAAATGATGGTTACCATGGCAACCATAATTTTCATTATGATGATCTTGATCTTATTTAGCATATTATTGATGATAAATGATGGTTACCATAGCAACCATAATTTTCATTACGATGATCTTGATCATATTTAGCATATTATTCATGATAAATGATGGTTACCATGGTGATGATCTTCATCATATTTAGCATATTATGGAATTAAATCGGCGAATTTAGTTAACAGCTAGGGAGCAAAAATGTAGAACGAATATTATCAACTAAATGCATAAGTTGAAAGGAAAAAACCCGAAGAAATGGTGGTCTGAAATTAAACGTATGTCAAACTTTGTAACTAAACGGAAACTGATAAGTTTAGCCAATGTTGAAACGTTTTCCAACCTTACACCAAGAGATCAAACAAATGAAATGAATAAAACATTTTTCGACTAGAATGTTCGACTAAATGATAGTTACCATGGCAACCATTATTTTCTTTATAATGATCTTGATCATATTTAGCATATGATTCATGATAAATGATAGTTACCAAGCAACCATTATTTTCTTTATGATGATCTTGATCATATTTAGCATATTATTCATGATAAATGATGGTTACCATGGCAACCATAATTTTCATTATGATGATCTTGATCTTATTTAGCATATTATTCATGATAAATGATAGACTTGCTACAAGTCGACTCTTTAAACCCACACGCGAGTTTGAGCGACCGAGCGTAGCGAGGTCGCGAAAGCGAGGCAAGGAACGCGCGGAAGAGTCGACTTGTCAAACTTGCAAGGTTTCTATTTGCGTCTTCGCGCCAAAACGGTAATATTACATGTAAGGGGGCGGGGTTGCCGCATTTGTTTACTATGACAATGTGTTCAATCAATGTGTGTGGCTTGGCTTTGTCAGTTTCATTACAATTGCAAATGACGGAAAATACTCCAACGAAAACAGTTGAACGAGTTTGCGTATCACCTGGATCGAAAGAAAGAATTTGTTTGGTTTGCGCGAAAGATATAGAGTCCAGTGATTACCGAAGAAGGCTGGTTGCTGCTGGAACTAAAAAGACTAAAGCGTGTCTTAATTTAGAATTGTTGCTCGGGCAAGAATTCGCGGTTGCCGATTTGCTCACAAACTTTTTGTGCAGAAATTGCGCTGACAAGAATGAAACTATAGTAAAAAACATTATTAGCGTCCGCTCAAAATTTGAGTCATCTGCCGAAGCGATTGGAGAAACGCGGAAAAAAGTATCAGTTAAGAGACTTTCACGATTAGAGCCAACTAATTCGGACGACGAGGTTGATCGATCTCGTAGTAAACGTGCGTTATTTGTGACGGAAAGTGGCACTATTATACCCATACCAAGAACGAGAGAGGCTTGCTCACAAGTTACTGAGAATGACTTGAGTGAGGAACAAAGCAATTTTACTCAGGTAAAATTATTGCAAGACGATCATTGCTATTTTAAAATTAACTCGCGTTTTCCGGAAAGAAGCGTTTTTCTTGTAGCATTAGATGTCCTTTGTAATCATGTCCTTTGTATGTTTTAATTATAGATCATAATCGAATACCCAAGCAGTCCCACTCGAAGAGTAGCTTTGTGTGAAGTTAAGGCAGCCATTGCAAGACAGCTTGCATTGAGCCCTCTGAAGAGCTTTGCCGCTGTTGTGTTCAAAAATAAGGAATGCAATGAGTACATTTTGGAAAAAACTACAAAGCAAATAACCCAAGAATTAACTGGACTGTGCACCTTGTCCCAACCATCTTTGTTGAGACAAAAAGAAAAGGACAAACTAATCTCCCTTAAATGGGATGCGGTGAACAATGAACTGAAAGATAGGTGCCCAGTGTTTTACATATTCCTCACTGCATCTGTAAGTAACCCATCTCAAGCAAGAAACTTACACAAAAAGGATGAAGCTATCTTGCCTCCAATGTTAGATGCTGGATGTCAGCTGATATCTGTGTTCAATTCAGACCTTGATGCCACAAGGCGTATAAAATCAGTTGTGCTAAAGAAAGGCGGTCTAAAGAAAGTTGGATTTAGAGGTTTGTAATAATTAAGTAATAAAAATTTAAGATTCATGGTTTGGCATCTGTATATATTCAATCAAAATAGAATACTCATGCTACTTAATTAGGAAGATAAACTATGAGGTAAATATGAAAACTCTGTAAGCTAACTTGTATTATTTTCATATTAATTTTTTCCAGGTTATCATCACTGAACATATGTCTTAGTTATACTGCTACATCTACATTGATGGAAAAACTTGGAGAGGGTTTTGATAAGAAGTTATTAGAATGGAAAAAAGAAATGGAATGCGGAGAAAAGAGAGAACGCGATATGATGGAATTGTTGAAGAATGCAGAAGATGCAGACAACACCAAGCTTACTGACGAGTGCAAGTTAAAGCTTAAAACTCACAGGGAAACAATGCATCCTGGATACTCTTTTACTGGAGATAACGTAGACATAAACTGTGGTACAAGACAAATGACACTTAAGAACAGGAACAAAGACCATCACCTATTTCAATTAGTGGCATTCAAGAATAGAATATCCTCAAATCACCTTCCTTCCAATATTCCAAGTGCTGATGTTAACACCATATCACTCTCAACATTCATTCCTAGTCCTGACGAACAAAAAACCTTGAAAGAAGAGATGACTGTGCTTGTAGGTCTTAAATGGGCCCATTACATCCCTGCATTGTCATGGCTAAAGGACTACCTTCCTCCCTATATTACTCATGAGAACATGGACAAAACCAGGATGAAAACTGAGAAGGTAAGACAGTGAAATAATTGAATTCACTGATATTTTGTCATTAATTGATAATATTAATATCCATAACCCATGTGGCATTGTGTTTTGATGCACCCTACTTTTAGAATTAACTCTGTCTAACACCAGATGATTTTACTTGTCATGTGAAAAGTGCCGGCGCCTAATGGGTTAAGGAACTAGATGATAATTCGACTTTACCTAATTTCCAGGTTAACCTTGGGGTTTACATAAGAATGAGCAATATGAAGAGGACATGATTGACACACTGTTACACACTTGCACAAGTATGTTCCAGGACATAATGAAGACTTGCCAGAAAGTTCACTGTAAAGGTTGTTGAGTGGTGGGGACTATTTAACTTTTGAAAGGCACAGGAAGCTCAGTCAGCCATGCAAGATGCAAGGACTCCTTCAGCAAGATTAGAGGGGCTTATTCCCAAGACAGAGGACTTTCACACCCAAATGGAGTGGATGCAAGTAATAACTTTTTTCAGACAGTTTATCTACATGTACAAAATTTCTTCCATTGTTCAGTTGAATTTAACTCATTACTCACTCATTAGGTATGTATATTATTTTCCCCTTTTTGGTATAGGTGATATGGAACCAATTATATAGCACTAGTTCAGCAAGAGATGCAGGCACACTCTATGCCATGCGGAATGCTATTGATGCAAGAAATGTGTCAAATGATCCACATAACAGGTATTATGCTGCTAGCGGAGTTTCTTGACAAAGTTACTGATGCATATCTAATAAATGGGGCACTTGTACATTTTGGGATGGCAACAATAGATGATGAGTGTACTAAACATATATGGGGGTCTTCAGTTGATAAGGAGAGCAAGAAGGAGTTTGCTGTAAAAGTGATCTCTGATTTTGTTTGAGCATGTCCTTTACAGTGTCCCAGATTACCAGCTAATGCTCGGTTGAGTAATGATTTAAAGTGCAGTGTCTGTGGCAAAGCATATAAACGTCCAAGTGCTCTGAAGAAACATGAAGAACAGAAACATGACATTAGGCAACTTCAAGAGCAATTGCCAAAAGAAAAGGCCCAAGGCAAAGAAGACAAGGTTAAAAACTATACACATCAACTTTTAGTGATGCTGCTTCTCCGTCTTAACCAAAACGATGCCATCAAACTTGCTGATGGGCCTCGCCTAATCCGGATCTACAAGTATTTTTTTCTGTACTTCAAAGTATCTGGATGCCCGAAGTATGCATTTGCCATGCTGCAGCTTCAAGCCAAGTTAACTGCCTATTAAGTCCCAGGCTTGCCCACTCTCTAATCTGGAACCGCTTTGTCAACCACAGTGGCAAAGTAGATACCAACACCCAATGGATTTGGAAATTGAGCATGATAACAAATCATTCAAGACAGATTGTCAAAGCTTCCGTGGGGAAATTACAGAAAAGACAACAAAACGTGTTGGCCGTAGCACAATGCCTTCTGATGAAATTTTGCATAACTTTGACAGTACAACTCATGTGAAAAACAATCAGGAAAGCACACTATGATGTCCACAGAGGAGGATGTACTTACACTAGTGGACTATTTGCTCCCAGCTAATGTGTTCGGTAACATACCAGGACGAGCACATTCAGCATTTGAGAACATGCCTAACAACCTACTGGACTCTGTCTGTGAAAAACTTAAAACATGGATTGGTCAATCATTGAGGAAATTCAGCAAGAAACATTATTATAAAATGTGACTTTTTTTACACGTGAAGTTGTTGTGTGTAGCTAATATTAATTGTTATTCAAAAAAGGTTGTCCTAAAAAGCCAAACTATAAGCATGCAAAGAGAACCAAAATGGTATTTGATATTCCGACAGTGCATCATATTTTAGTTGTATGGCAACCCCTTCTGTGCCTGGAGATTTTACATATGGGGTTAAAGTTAAATTAATGTAATTGTATACATGCTTCATATATATATGCTGTATATATATATATACATATTATATATATATATATATATTATATTATATATATATATATATATATATTATATAATATATATATATATATATTATATATATATATATGATTTTCCTATATATATACATATAGGAATTATATTAAAACAATTAAAAAAGTACAATACTTTATTCACTGTCTTCAGAGCTGTCTTGTAAGCATGGGTGTCTGCATCTTAGGGAAAGAAATCCAATGTCACTCATTTCAATGCCAGTGTCCCTATCCTGACACTCCCTGTCTGTTTCTTGCATGTCATCATCATCACCACTACTATTGCTGTCACTTAAGTCACACAGGGATTGCCAAACATATTCAGCATGTTTCTGTTCATAGAAACTGAATCTCTTCAAAAGCATTTCAACACTGGAAAGTTCCCTTGAACTTTCAACAATTGAATCTATTAGATTTCTTGTGAAACCAGTAATCAAATCTAAGCCAATCAGCAGCTGTTCATGTTTCATGTCACCTGCAAGTTGAAGGCGATATTCCAAAAGATTGTCTCTCAACTGTTTTGCCCTTTCCGGTCTGAGCTTCATCCCCTTGTTCTCACCATTAGAACTGGTAGCTGTAGATCTTAGGAGATTTTCAAACTTAGACTGGTGATCAGTTGGAATGCAAGTCTTAGAACATGAGCATTGTTCTTGATTAGCACATTCACATAAACACTTGCACTTTCCTGCACATATATCACAGCAGGAATGAAGGACAGAGTTTGGTACTGGATTACTGGTAAATGCTTTCAGAAGTAAAACCCTTCTACAATCTGTGTTATTCCTGACGTTTCTTTCATTTGCTTGGTGATGTTGCTGCTACGGGTACAGCCTTTGTACTTCAAAAGTATTGCATGAGAGCTTGCTTGGTTGCGCGCAACTCTGCCTGATTCCTGAAGATAATCATCAAGCCCACTTGATGGTCCCAGATGAATAACCACATTTCCTCCTCTTACATTCACACCCATTCCGAATGCAATAGTGCAAAATACCACTCGAACAGTACCATTCTCCTTACAAAACTCAGTCTCTATTGTCTTTTTTACAAGACTGTGTGTTTTCTTGTGGTACATTGCAAATAGTCGAGACCTGTCATCCACAGGCTCCTTTCCAGTAGGTCTATAATAGGCCTTCGGTCCAAGACACTGCGTAAATAGTTCAAACAGTTCTTTTGCATGTTCCTTTCTTCGACAAAACACAATGACCTTTGTAGCATTCACATGCATTTCTTCTAATTCATCAATAATTGACCTAAAAGTATCATACAAGTTTTCGTGATCCACATCCTTTACAGAATATCGAATGTTGGGCTTATTTGGGTCACCAATAATCTCTACACAGTTCTTCATACACAAATCTTTAATAATGGTCTTTTGTGTTGCTTCAGTTGCTGTCGCTGTGAGTGCTATAACAGGAATATCTCTATGCACCAATGAACGAAGTTCTGATAATCTTCCATAGTCTCTTCTAAAAGCTTCTTCAGTGACACTGTCTTTTCCCCTAAAATTGGAAATTTTTACAGGTATTAGCTTTCATTTTTGCTTAAATCCCTCCGTTTAATTGTTTCATAATATATAGTAGAAGAAGCGCATATAGGAAAAACTACTTTATGCAGTACCTATATGATTTATTAATATAAATAAACTGATGAAAGCAGCAAGCGAGAGGGACAAACATGACGCTCTTCTGGTTCGGTTTTCATGTCATTACTTCACTTTAGTTACATGTAAATACACATATTACAATCAAATGTAACATAAAAACTTACCACTTCGCGATGCAATGGCTTTCATCGACAAACACGGCTTTTAAGTTGCTTTTCAACTGGCGAAATATGTGACGGTAACTGTTCAGAAGAGCTTCGGGACTCCCAAACACAATTCTGGCCTTGAAATTCAAAATATCTGTCAGTTGATCTTCCGAACAGTCGTCCCCAACATACGAGGCAGGAATTCCACGACTAACTAAGTTGTTCACTTGATCTTTCATCAGCGAGACCAAGGGAACGACCACGAGAACCATTGATTTCTTGTTTCCTAATAAATGCTCGAAAGCGTATGGTGCTAGCTCAAATGCAAGGCTTTTCCCAGCTCCTGTGGGCGCCGAAACGAAGACATCTCTGTTTGAAAGATATGCCTGAACAGTGTTCTGCTGATACTCTTTCAGTTCGGAGTAACCAACAGACGTCTTTGCTTTGTCAATCGCTTCGATAATGGAAGCCATATCAAAGTATTTTCTAATCGAGTGAAATTGTGGTGAAATCGACACCAACATCGACACCTTGATTGACATGTTTATTCACGCGGAATAGTCGAACGGTAATTATAATAATTAATTCAGCGACCTGATTTTGGGTCGCCAAATATGGGCGAAGCAAGTTTGACAAGTCGACTCTTCCGCGCGTTCCTTCCCTCGCTTTCGCGACCTCGCTACGCTCGGTCGCTCAAACTCGCGTGTCGGTTTAAAGAGTCGACTTGTAGCAAATCTAGATAAATGATGGTTACCATAGCAACCATAATTTTCAATATGATGATCTTGATCATATTTAGCATATTATTCATGATAAATGATGGTTACCATTGCAATCTAATTTTCATTATGATGATCTTGATCGTATTTAGCATATTATTCATAATAAATGATGGTTCCCATGGCAACTATTATCATCATTTTGATGTTGATCATATTTAGCATATTATTCATGATATATGCTGGTTCCATGGCAACCATAATTTCCTTCATGATGATCTTGATCATTTAGCATATTATTCTGATGGTTATGCAACCATCCATTTTCTTATAGTGATGATTCATATTAGCAATATTACAATAAATGATGGTTGCATGGGAACCATTATCATCTTTTTTATGATAATGATCAAAATTAACATAATATTCCTAATAAATTATAGTTGCAATTCCAACCATGATGATCATTATAATGATCTTGATCATATTTAGCATATTATTCATGATAAATGATGGTTACCATTGGCAAACATGGTTTTCATTATGATGATCTTGATCATATTTAGCATATTAATCATGATAAAGCATGGTTAAAATGGCAACCATAATTTTCATAATGATGATTTGGATCATATTTAGCATATTATTCATGATAAATGATGGTTACCATGGCAACCATAATTTTCATTATGATGATCTTGATCATATTCAGCATATTATTCATGATAAATTATGGTTGCCATGGCAACCATTATCATTTTGATGATACATACTAATCATAATAAATTATGGTTGCAATTTACACCATGATGATCTTTATGATGATCTTGATCATATTTGGCATATTATTCATGATAAATGATAGTTACCATGGCAACCATAATTTTCATTATGATGATCTTGATCATATTTAGCATATTATTCATGATAAATGATGGTTAATATGGCAACAATAATTTTAATTATGACGATCTTGATCATATTTAGCATATTATTCATGATAAATGATGGTTACAATGGCAACCATAATTTTCATTATGATGATTTGGATCATATTTAGCATATTATTCATGATAAATGCTGGTTACCATGGCAACCATAATTTTCATTATGATGATCTTGATCATATTTAGCATATTATTCATGATAAATTATGCTTGCCATGACAACCATTATCATCATTTTGATGATAATGATCAAAATTAACATACTAATCATAATAAATTATGGTTTCAATTTCAACCATGATGATCTTTATCATGATCTTGATCTTATTTAGCATATTATTCATGATAAATTATGGTGGCCATGACAACCATTATCATCATTTTGATGATAATGATCAAAATTAACATACTAATCATAATAAATTATGGTTCCAATTTCAACCATGATGATCTTTATCATGATCTTGGTCATATTTAGCATATTATTCATGATAAATGATGGTTACCATGGAAACCATAGTTTTCATTATGATGATCTTGATCATATATAGCATATTATTCAGGATAAATGATGGTTACCATGGCAACCATAATTTTCATTATGATGATCTTGATCATATTTAGCATATTAATCATGATAAATTATAGTTACCATGGCAACCATGATTTTCATTATGATGATCTTGATCATATTTAGCATATTATTCATGATAATTGATGGTTACCATCCTAACCATAATTTTCATTAGGAAGATCTTGATCATATTTAGCATATTATTCAAGATAAATGATGGTTACCATGGCAACCATAATTTTCATTTGATGATCTTCATCATATTTAGCATACTCATGGAATTAAATCGGCAAATTTAGTTAACAGCTAGGGAGCGAAAATAATGTAGAACGAAATATTATTAACTAAATATGCATAAGTCGAAAGGAAAAACCCGAAGAAATGGTGGTCTGAAATTAAACGTATCTCAAACCTTGTAACCAAACGGAAACTGATAAGTTTAGCCAATGTTGAAACGTTTTCCAACCTTACACCAAGAGATCAAACAAATGAAATGAATAAAACATTTTTCGACTAGAATGTTCGACTAAATGATAGTTACCATGGCAACCATTATTTTCTTTATGATGATCTTGATCATAATTAAAATATTATTCATGATAATTGCTGGTTACCATTACAACCATAATTTTCATTATGATGATCTTGATCATATTTAGCATATTATTCATGATAAATGATGGTTACCATGGCAACCATAATTTTCGTTATGATGATCTTGATCATATTTAGCATATTATTCATGATAAATTATAGTTACCATGGCAACCATAAT